CACTTCTCAGACTTTGTAACTTCGTTAGAACAGCTACAGCCAAAGCAGCAACAGCATCCATGTGTTAAGATGGGGCCAGGCAAAGGAAGGTCTTAAGAGGCATTTCCCCTTTGAAACTGAGGGTCAAACCAAAACAAAGAGAAAAAATGTAGAATTTAGAAGATATTATTACTGTCATTATTAAATTTCTTTCACCCAAGGACTAAAAATTTTCGACAGATTACTTTTATAATTATCAATATCTGTGTTCTTGGGATGAAGGGAGATTTGGTGTATTGTCCAACATCAGACATAAGATTTTTACATAAAACCATAGACTAGCTTATTCTGAAATCAGAATTTTCCTAATGGATATGCAAATTTAAAAACAGAAAATAAAGAAGCAGTCTATACAAATCCAGTAATATTAAATATAGTAATATAGTAATAGTCCTTCTCGTAACACATCTATAAACAGAGAAGTTTACCTTATGTTAACATGGGAATTATTTTCAAAACAGAGCATTCTTATAAAAGGTATTTCTGTTTTTTTTTTTCAGCTTAATAAAATATGAATTTTAAGTTTTACTTTAATTGAAACTTCCTGCTTTTCATCTTCTTGAGTCCTGTATTAAAATCCTATGTTAGAGTTGATCAAATTTATGAAATGGGTTTCTGGGCTATGTTAAATCCATACACTTGATCTTAGTCCAAAGACCAAGAAATGATTATATTAACTCCACAGATTCTTCCTAATGCATTAGTTCCAGAAATTTAGGAGGTACTGGTAACTAGACACTAATATAAAATCCATTAGTAACAACTCTGTGAAGTCATCTTCTATTTCATAAACAATATGGTAGCTTACTAGGGCTGGCAGCAGGATGTCTGATTGCTGTGCCAAGACTTTCATACCTATGCATTTAAAGGGGACTGATGAAATTAAAGCATTTGCATTAATGCAAATAATGCTTAAAAACCAACCACTCTAATGAGCTTTGCGTTGTATTGACATTAATGTAATATATGCAGAGAAAATAAGATAACTTAAAGCAATTTTTCCCTTTGACTCATTTTTTGATGTCCTTCCCCACTTACTGCTTTTGTCTTGTCCAAGATGCTTATTCTAGCAGTTTCACATTCAATATAAACAATTTCTCTGCTATAATAATGAATTGTTAAGTGGAGCCAAGTAAATCGTTTATTGTCATGTTTTAAAAAATGTTTTCCCAAAGCACTAGAAATAGTTAAAAAACAACAGCAACAATTCTGAGTCAATGTCTGTAGTCGAGATACTTCCATACTGTGTGTAGAACCTAGAACCTATCAGGAGTTACTAATTTCATTTTCCTTTTTTTACATCTTTCTGGTTGGAGTGCCTTTCCTCTGTTTTACTGGTACGATCGCTACTTGTATGTCAAGACCTATCTTGGTGCTGTGGAAAAAGCGGAGGCTTTGAGGTCAAATGAAATATCAGTTCTTTTGTTTATTAGTTACAGTTCCTTTGCCCATTATACCAGACGACCTCGGGAAAGTTACTTAACTCTCAGGTCTTCTGTGTTCACATTTGTAAAACGAACACCCTAAATACCCACCTCACATGGATTTTGTGAGCATGAAATGAAATAGAAAGCACCGAGTATGTACCTGATGCAGAGGAGGCGTTGAATTACTTTCGTTTTGATTCACTCAACCAACACTTGTACTATTTATAATCACAACTTGTTATAAAGTATTAGACCCAGACAGAGATTGATCCCAACGAGATCTAATGGCGCCCCCATCTTGTCCCTGCTATGATATTCAATCATAGTTGTCAGCTGAATGAAAGCAAGACATCAGCTTGCTGGACCCCTGACCTAGTATGCTTATAGGAGCTCACAGCCCCAACAGCTTGATTAAGAATACCTAGAGGGGCTTTTACATTGAGAAAGAACTTATGCAAATACTGCAGGGGTTAAGGATTAATGAACTCATGCTATGGACAAGAACTTTAAACTGTTTGCCATATGTTAATTTCATTATAAATATGTACCCTAACTATAAATATGTATCCTAAAACTATAAAAAAGATATAAACTGGCTGTTCTTCCTCCCAAAGGAAGTGGTTAAAACATTTAATAACAGGTGTGGTGAAGTAAATCATCTCTGCTAAGGCCTGGATGTGTTTTCTTCCTGCCTTGTCTAAGTTCTGCTGGTTGTTTACTGCGTGCCTACCTCTTAGGCGGGTTCCCTCTAGAATTCCCCTCTGACACGGTCTGCAAGTTACCTGCTGCTCTTTACTTACAAACCTGAGAGGAATGGCTTTTCACTCTGTATTTTCCATGCTGGCATATTAGCCACCTTCATATTGTACATACTGCTCATAAGTAAGGATGGGGTGCATTCGCCCCCTGTATTGGGAGACTTTTACATTGATGTCCAAGCCACAAATAGAGCATGCCAGGACACTCCCAGGACCCACCATTAAATGTCTCACCAACCTTCCTGGCTTAGGAGTATTTAACTTTGTCACACCCAGTAGCAGGTGGCCTACAATGACAATGCTGCAAGTTATTATGATTATTGTTTGCTCATAGTCCTGGGTCAGCAACTCTTTTTTATTCATTCTCAGCTCTTAGCTCGGGGGCCCACTTCGAAGGCCTCAGTAAATGATCATCCCAGTATAAAGGATTGATCCTCTCAAGTATTACAGAGCCCAGGAGGCAGATGAGCTTTTCTCTTCAGCCCCTTGAGATGATGTGCCTTTCTTCAAGCCTTGCATGTATTTTACCACTGAAAGGTGCATAACTATTTAACCTTTGGTGAGACTTTAAACTGGAAAATACTTTCAAGAGTAATAATGCAATTTGTTGTTTCTCTGAGCTTTGTCATAGCAGGCTTTTCAAGTAAAACTAAAATTAGCGATGGGTCTTTGAAACGTTGCCAGTGAACATATGAAAGGAAGGCATACTCATTCAGCTAATTTTGGGCTACCAGAAAATGCCCTGCCAGGCTCCTGGATAAATGGAGAGTCGACTGTCATATCTACCAATTGCCTTCATTGAGCCTTCACATCCTTCATTGCATCCTTTCATTTAATTCTGACAACATTATGAGAGCAGTGTCTCTTATTAAACTCATTTTACAGGTAGGAAATTATGGCTCCATGATGTTTAATACCTTGTCCTAGATGACAAATCTAATGAATAGCAGAACCTCGATTTGAACCCAGAATTGATATGTGCTCTTTCTACCCCTGCACCATACACCCTGTCTGAATCCATTTTGACCACCTCTCCCCCGCAGGCTGCCTAAGTGCGTGAGCCTGTGCTTTATGCTGCTGTTTTGTTCTCCTCCGTTCCTGCTCTTACTGCTTCTGTCCTGTCCGTTTGTTTCCTGACCAAGTTCATTTTATTGCTTGTATTTTTTTTTTTCTTTTTCCTTTTCGAATGATGAGAACACCGTTGGCCAGTTCTTTGGTACTGAGCTGTGACAACCCCATCCTTGCTTGAAGAAGTCCTTGCTTCTTTATATCTTTCATTTGGCTTGACATCAAAGCTGAAAAAGGTTACCGATGACGGTATGAACCTTTTCAGTATGCGAATTATGTAATAGTACAAATGACTTTATATCAGTATAATTGAGTTCTTAACTATTCATTTTTATCACTGCCTGTTCAATATGTCAAGCTGTAAAAGAGAATATTTTAATTCACAGGAATGACTCAGATCTTGAAAAATGAATGTGAAAACACTAAATTCCAAAGTGCAAGCCCTACCACTAGGCCGTGAACTCTTTGAAGGCGAGCTGTATCCTGTAGGTCACTGTGTCCCCATCACCTAATCAGGGCCTGTCTCTTGTAGACCTTCCGTGAATAATGAATGAAGATACAAATGAACACCTGCTTTGGCCTTCAAACCTTTGGATGTTTACTATAATTTTCTTAAAACAGTGAAAATCGATAAATGCTGTATGATTCACTTTAAAAATATGGTGTACTTCTTAAAAGGCATGTTGATTATGCTTTAGTGTAAATAAGTGTAACTAATCAAATATGGTGTTCTTTAAATTATACAAACAATCCAACCTACATATATTTCATTTCTATGAAATAATTACTATGCCAACTAGCGATAAATACTATAAAGAAAAGGCAGAATTTAAAGTAATGAAAAATGGTGGATTGGTGTTTATTTATAACGGTCATTTTAAAAGATGAGTATTATAGTGCAAACTATCGAGACATTTAAGCACAAAAAGTTAGAATCTACATTTAAGGTAAGTATCAATAGTTGTATGCGTTTGAGCCACGAGAGCCGAATATGTCTATCCCATTTTCATAACAATTTTAGAGCCAAAAAGATCACTTCAGACAGATTTTTTTTCCCAACATTTTGGTGAGTAAAATAATTGGTCAGCTGTGCCCTGATCCTTTTTCCTATTCAAACTTGGCTGTTAAAGCAAGCACATGCAGTTTGGAATAAGAACTCCAAGCTGAATATTGTAAAGTTATTGATAGGGGCATTAAAAATACTAGTTTGAACAATATCATTAGTAATGTATCAAATAAAAGCTGCGTTTTGGTCCTCATTGTAAGTTTTAAACTAATCTTCAGATAAAGGTATTTTGGCTGAAATGGGTAAAGTGTGTAGGTGCTGGAGCTTTCTATAAGATGATGTAACAGGTTTTGTTAAAATGAATGACTGAAAATATGGTATAAAACATAGATCAGATGTTTACACATATTTATTTGTAGTTTTTCATACTGAAATGAATTCAGTTTAGTATTGGCTGTCAAGGTTCAAATTGAGTGTTGGACAAGCCTAACTATACCTGAAACTTAATACTCGCAGTCTTGTTTAAATCATTTCATGGCGATGCATGATTTTTCATTTACATATTTGAATTTGAGTAGTGAGAAGTCGATATAAGAGCGTTGTGCCACATCACCTCAGCCTGATTTTAGGAGAAGAGCCTCACACATGTGTGCAGACCCATGTTGTCAGTTGTAATCTTGTGCCTGGATGTTCCCTTTGCAGATGATCCAGTCCCTCAAGGCCTTGATTGAAAATGCAGATGCTGTGTATGAAAAGATTGTACATTGTCAGAAGGCAGGTAAAGTAAAAGTTTCTTTTCTTTAAATCAGTAGCATCATTTATTTGCCCCTAAACTATTTTTCATCTGTTTGATGCTATGTCAAGAAAATCAGATATAAAAATTATTCTTCCATGGCTAAAGAAAATACAAATTCACTGATTCTCAAGCCTACATAAAATCATGGTGAGTGGGTGGTAAAACATATTGACATCGGTCAGGGGTGTGGCTTAAGAATTCTCAGCTGTTATAAGCTCCCAGGTGTTTCTAATGAGCAGCCAAGATGGAGAACTTCTACAATAATTTCTTCCTCAGTGTTACCTGTGCTGTCAGACCCCCTTCTGTCATCCATGACTTTCTAGCACATGATAGGAAGGGTGAGTCTTGAACGGAGAAAGATTGAGTTCTTAGAAAGAAGATTACAACCTCTTGACACTTTTTAATGCACTGACATTTTCAAATGCTGACGAATTCATTAATTTAACATCCAAATGTTATACTAGATTATAAAATTCTACTTACATAAACAACTATCTAATTAATTTTAGCTGTGACAAAACCCAAACACTCAAGTATTCTACATTGTAATAAGAATAGACAAATGGAGTTCTTTCAATTTTGAAATTTTGTTTGTCAATTTGGAAGATTCTAATATGGAAAATATTTGTAATTTATAAATAAGAATATTTGTCCTAAGGTTTCTGGTTGCTGTCCTTTAAAATCAAGAGACTATAACCAAAAAAAAAAAAAAAAAAAAATCATATCTAAGAACGAACTTGTTTAAAATAGATTAAAGAAGAGGATACGTGTGATAATTTTCCTTTTTGGTATTTTTTAAAGGACTGTGTACATTAATGAGTAATCAGAGAAATATCCTCATCTTGTTTTACTCATATTCTTAAGAAAATATTATTAGTAAAGTAATCTTTCTACTGGGACAATATTCCCTATAACCACAACTAAAACAAGTTCATACATCATTTTTGTAATTTCATTATTTCATTACACAAAATTATCCAGTAGCTTACTAGAGTCTATTGTATCAATTCTAAACTTCTGATTTCCCATGCGAAGTCATCTACCAACTGGCTCACCCATTTTGCCAATGTTACATAAAATTTGTTAATTAAATCATCTGTTCATTTGTTTAATGAATATGTTTTGAACTTCTACTATGCATAAGATACTTACTTGTAAGAGCTATTTCATACCAAAATATCAAAAAATAAACAAGATTGATTTTTGCCTTCTAGAACCTTCAAATTGAACATGAGATATGAAAGTTATCACACAGTCACATGTATGGAGAACTTACTATGTGTTTCTCAGGAGTCTGAATTCAGTTTGTGAGACAGTTGGTTTTTGAGCAAAATGGGAAAGAAGTTGAGCTTTGCGGTGATGGTCATCATAGCTGTGTGCAGGGAATTTTTTGTGGGCAAAACCCAGTTGCGAAGCTACTGGGAGCAGTGAGGAAGGAAAGGAAGTGACCATGTCAACCCAGCCTGGCCTTCGGGCCGCCCTTCCCCATCTTCTGTGTGCTTCTGTTTAGTCAGATCTCCTTGAGCCATCCTCCTGCTAATACTTCTCTCTGCTAATCTGTACTGTTCTTTCTCGTCTCAACAATATTTCTGAAGACCTTTTATGATTCAAGGATTTATGTAATCTAACCATTCTATTCAGCCCTTCAAACATGTACAGTATTTTATTCAGCTGATAGAGCTTCTTCAGCGAGTGTGTGTTTTATTAAGGTACTCCATTTTCCAAACAGGATAGTAACCTTCTAAGGCACCAGGTTTGCATATTGAGTTACTGTTGAGGTTTTACTCATGATGTCTGTTCTAACATTCTGTACAGAAAAGTCACTCAAATATGAGCTGACTAAATGTGATTTGACTTTTATTAAGTGTTCTATTTTATTAAATGCATGTATTGCTGTGAGAATTATGGACTGTGAAAATTTAAGGCTGCATTTATCAGAAAAAAACTATTTTTTAACAATTTGAATTGCTGTCAATTCTTTACAACTTTATTGCTTTGTAAAGGTTCATAATTTCTAGTGTAATTCAGCTTTATGTTTCATTTGATTACAATAAGAAATATATTTGCTCATATTTTTAAAAGGTGAAGAATCTTGTCTATTAAGGATTTTGCTTGGGTGGAGGCGGGGAGAGACTAACACTGTGTAATGGTTTGCGTTGCTTTGGGTTTAAAGATCTTTAGAGGCATATAACGATTATCTTTTGGTTTCACAGTTACTGCTGACCGCCTACACAACCCTTCTGTTATCACAAGTGCTTATTTTAGAGTCCCTTGATCTTTTTTTCCTCATGTTTATAGTTATCGTAAGAGCATATAGTCATTAGTCATATGAAGAATTGCTAATTTGTATTGGACTCAAAAACATTTGCATAAGATTTTGCTTTTGATAAGTAATTGTTATTCCGCTTGCATAACTTTAATCTTGCAATGACAAAATGAAGATATAGGTCACCAAAGTGCTGCAAGAGAGGATTATTTTAGAAATATTTCAAACTTGCAAACACTAATTTATGTTCTTATTAGATAAACCTTCATTTAAACAATTAAGTGAAAACAATGAGTTACACTCCCACCTCCAGTCACATGTTGAAAAGTATACCTACTTTGGACAGGTCCTGGCTGTGTAGTTGTTTTTTTTTGGAAATAACAGTATGTATTCTGGTGTTGTTACTGGGAAGAGGGAGTGAGGCAGACAAGGTATGCTGGGAAATGAAGACCCCCCCCCTATCCAGCAAAGGCTGGGGTCCAGCAGGACCCAGGAGGAAGATGACACAAAGGGATACTGGGGAGGGCAGAGGGAACATCGACGTGACGGGCAGTTGGGGCAGTCTGCGTAGCTCTCTTTTTTAAAAAGAAAAGATGGCAGCACAGAAGGTTGGAGGGTTAAAGGGAAATCTTAATAAGAAAACTATCCTAGGAATATGAAAGATCCAGCGAAGAGGAAGACGTTAAAAGATGAAATGGAGATAAAGGATGGAGGAAGCGAGGAGGGCAAGGATCAAGTACAAGTCATGAAACACTTGACCTTAGAAAGAGGGAAGCACCCCCTCTTCTCAGACAACACAGAAAGCTGTGACATTTAGAGAAATTCTGAGAAACAGAGGAGCATTTTCCATTGAGAAGGTGGACAGGGAAGTCCTGCCATAAGAGAACAGTTTTGAGGGTGAGGAAGTGAAAGAGAGAACTAAGGACAGGGATAGAGAGTGGGAGCATCTGTCCAGTCAGAAGTCAGTAGTGCCAATAAGAGGGACTGATTAGATGTTGGATTGTGCAGGAGTGATGTGGATGAGCGGGTCTTGGCCGCCGTCTGATGCGAAAGATAAGTAATAAATGGCATGGCTGTGCAACAATGAGTGTGTATAAACTAATGAGCACAGGTGAATACACTCACACACATTCTCCTAAATCTAACAAATGCACAGTCTTCCAAGAAACAGCAAAGTTGGTGATTGGTAAGGAACACATGCAGGGGAGCTGAACAGGAATCTGCAGAGGGAGAAGCATCAGAAAAGTTCTCTTTTTTTAGAAGTTTCTAAGTTGATAAAAGATTAGCCAGGTTCTTTCAGGGGAAAAGTCTTCCACTTTCTACTGTTTCTCTCTCTCTTTCTCTCCTCTCTTGCTCTCTCTCTGGGGCCCAAAAGAGCAGACTATCATTGACTTTTAATTTCCTTCTTAGTCACTTAGTTGATATGCTTCATAAAGGATAGGAAGATGATCTAGAAGGAAACTCAAACTACTTTGCTTCAGTGAGTTGGATGTTTTTGTCAGGTGAATTTAAATGGAAAATAATTTGTTCTCTGGGGAAAAAAAAAGAAATCAATGACATACTTCCTGTCAAAGATGGTGAATTAACACATGCATTTAATCTCCACTCCCTTCTGAGCCTCGTTAAAATGACAGTTAGGGTTTTGTTTTTTTGTTTTAGAGCCTAAACCCCTAAGGACAAAGAAAATAGGAGCAACAAAATTTTGGAAACTAAAAACGACTGAACAAGTGATAATTGACTTAGCTGACTCAAGCAAGGTGAAGTTGAAGCTGCCAGTGGGGGACCTGGCAAGCTATCTCGTTTACACTGCAGACCACCCCCCCACCAGCTCGGAACTTGGTGGCACCAGGTGCCTCTGGAAGTTAGGGTGAAGGCAGAGCTAAAAGAGAGCTCTCCCAAAGTTGGATTAAGAAGCAGTTAGACCCCAGGTGGCTGACAGACCGCATGTGTCCTGACAGTGGGCGGGGTTAAAAATAGCAACGTTCTCTTCCTTCATCTGGGGAGTTTGATAGATAACACTTGAAGAAAGTCTAAACAATATAAGCATGTCATTTAGAAATATGGATATAAATATTAAAAAAGGAAACAAAAAACTCAGCAGTTGAATGTACTTGCTTCTGGAGAGGCAAGCTTAGTGACAATTATTTGGCTCTTTAAACTATGTGCATGCATAATTCTGATAAAAATTAAGTCACTACTAAATTTAAATTTAATTTAAATTACTAAATTAAAAAAAAAAAAAAAGAAGAAGAAGAAGAAGAAAGGAAGGAAGGAAGGAATCAGGGAACAGAAGCTGCCACAGGAATCCCTGAGTAAGGATGTTCCTGGAGAAGATGTGGGCCACACCGACAAGCCTTGGGGACAGTGTGAGGTCTGAGGTGAGGTTACTGCCAAGGACCCTTGCTGGTCTCCCTGGCTTTGCGGGCAAGCCCAGTGCCCAGAGGATGTTGTGTGCCTGGGTGGGCGAGAGCCTGGTTCCTCTTTTGGCAAGAGAATTAGTTCTCTTTCAGAATGACTGAGGGAAGATCAATCTCTAAATGAAAGAAAATCCAGGCCACCCCAGACCTATTTAAATAGAAGCTTGTGTTCTAAAAGCTCTAAAGGAATCTCATGCATGGCAGGGTTGCATCATTACTGAGTGAAATGGGATATAAGGTAACTTTCCAAGTAATGAAAGCTTTACCCTTCATTTTAATCAGTTTAATGGAAATTTTTC